AAATCTGCTTTATTGCCAAACAGCTGCTGTTTGGATGTGGAAAGACGAGAGTGAATATGGGAATAATTTAGAACCACATCAACATGGACACCAATGCATCACACACTAGGAGAGTTCAAAGCCGGTGTTACTGTGAATTGCATATCGCAACTTGTCTCGCAGGGTGCTCTTCTTGTGGTAATTGTGGAGCTTGAGAAGGTTGAAGCAGGTCGAGGAAGTCGGGAGACGATTCACTGGGTCCCGACGGGATCCTATCTTCAAAAACCCTCTTATCACACTCCCTGACCGATGGAAAAAAAGAAAATGTTGATAGGCACGAACTAGGCAGGGACTCGATAGGTGTTACCTGCCATATAATCACAAATCCTTCTGGTTTCTGTTATCATGGATGCAATTCACTCAAAAACATTGAACAGATTCAGTCCTGTAACAAGTACATTCAAACATTCAAACCCTGACAAAAAATTTGCAGTCTCATGATTTAAGGTAACATTCACCAATTCTGGTCAAATGGCTGCCTCTTGAAATCCATGCTCACTAAAGGAAATGAGGGGAGAGCTTAAGCACAGCAATCTGTTACTGATATCAACATTACTTACTGAGATGCCAAGAGGTCATACCCCATGAACAATAAGTTTGCAAGAGGATGCTCTATTTCCTGCATATTATTCTCTTATTCTTTGGGGCTACAAGAAGAATGCAGCAGGGTAGTAGGACAAGCAAAAGCGATTCATCCAACATCGACGTACCCAGTGTGTCTCCCGTGTCTTCGTCTTCTCCGACCTCCACGCAACGGATCGAGAATGGGGGTTCCAGGTGACTGAAACCAAGGCGGGGAGCAGAACTGCAAGATGTCACAAACTGCAATATCCATGCACAAATATGCATTAGTTTTGAGATGAATAACAGGAAACTAAACACTCAGGGACAAGCATACTGATGGATTCCACTCTTATGGAATACCTTGCTGTTTAAAAAATAACAAACAAGTTGTGATGAATCAAAGTTGCAACAAAGAGAAATGATATGGGGGTAACGAGTTGAGAGATCGGCACACAGTAGTGGAGCTGTGAAGGCTAGTTATGTCAGATCAGTCAGTTAAATAAAGAGGAAAAGGGATGTGAAATTCTGAGACTGACAAAAGGGATAGAACATAGATAGATATGAGGCACTACAGTAAACTCTCGATACACCACCACTGTTGGTCTCGGTCGATTTTAACACTATATCAAAACACATGGCTTTAAAATTGTCAATTTTTTCTTAATTTATATAAAATATGCACCAAATTTCCATTAATTAATCCATGCTGCCAATGGTCCATGCCTTAGAATACACTAACTACACAGCTTTGGAAAATGATATCTATTCCATCCATTATTAAATCCAATTAATTCTTATTTTTAATTAGTATAACTCCTATGCACCATCTGCTCACATTATCGTACCAAAAACAGGGAAAAATTGTTTTCAAAGTTTTGCTGACTTGACCACATTCACCTCCTAATGGCACACTTCCAATTTTTCCGCCCCTCTCCAATCTCTAGAGGCCCATTCTAACGCTAAATCACCCCTTACAATCTTGAAATCTATCATGCAACCAAAAGGAGCAACTGGCAGCATTACATTTCGCATATGGTATAATAATTGTGGCTGGTGAAGTATGTTGCTAAATGTAATATCAAGTAAGACTTACATAGAAAAGGCATGTTTGTGCAAGTAAAGGTGTTGCCAGGTGGCAGCTAGCGAGGGTGGCACTATAATGGGGGAGTGCCTGTGGTAAGCCTATGGGGAAGATTCGTTCTCAGGAAAGAGTTGATGGTGAGTGAGAGTGGTGGTATATCAAGGGTTGACAGTAGATGGTATTTAGAATTCACTTTCATCAAGTCTGCCAGGAAATTGGAAAAGGAAATCAAGTTTCAATCCCAAGAGTCAAATCATTCTAAACAATTTGTATTCTCCTGTGCTTTTCTCAACAGATGAAACAGTAATTTCAAACAGTCTCTATGAATGTCATAGAGACAGTGAGGCATAGAGTCAATGAGGCAAAGAATTCAGTCAAGACTGGTGACTTGCCATATCAGCAGTTCACTCCTCACTCTATACATAGAAGACCCACTACTATGAATGTTATATGTCACTTTCTTCTGCAAATGTAATACAAGCAAAAAAAGGCTCTTATAGAATAAAGTAGAGAGAGAGATGTATGAGGCACGAGGAGACCTTGAGGAAGAGTTGCCTTTCTTGTTCAGAGAAGTCCTTGTCAAGAGTATCCCAGAACCAGGTGATAAGACGATGCTTGTCATGAAATCCACCATAGTACTGTGTGTGCTTTCTCAGGTCCCTCAGATCAACACTGCAGGGATCACCTGATATCAATCGCTGCACCTATTTGAGAAACACCAGTCAATTGGTTCTTTCCTTGGGAAACACCTGCCCAATGCCTGCCAGAATCACTTCATTATCATTTCACTTGTCATCTTTCATATGGCAACTTAAAAAGATCTTAGCAATTCAAAGTGTCTGAGGAGTCCTCATTTTTCCACCTGGAAATGGTGGTCAAAGGGAACTGAAACATAGACTGCTATTGGGTTGGAAAGAAAGTCTTGCAACACTTTCTGACGAAGCCCTGCGGAACGCCCTCAACAAGAAGCCGAATGCCACCACTCGCGAATTGGCGACTACACTTGGAGTCACCCATATGGCCATCGGAAACCATCTGAACGACCTCGGCTATCGGAAGGTTTACTCGACATGGGTCCCTCATCAGCTCAGCGACTCTGACAGAGCAAGCCGTGTCAGTGTCTGCGAATCACTGCTCCTTCGTCCGCACAGAAAGGACCTTCTGAAGGAAATCGTTACTGGAGATGNATCACACTCCCTGACCGATGGAAAAAAGAAAATGTTGATAGGCACGAGCTAGGCAGGGACTCGATAGGTGTTACCTGCCATATAATCACAAATCCTTCTGGTTTCTGTTATCATGGATGCAATTCACTCAAAAACATTGAACAGATTCAGTCCTGTAACAAGTACATTCAAACATTCAAACCCTGACAAAAAATTTGCAGTCTCATGATTTAAGGTAACATTCACCAATTCTGGTCAAATGGCTGCCTCTTGAAATCCATGCTCACTAAAGGAAATGAGGGGAGAGGGGGGGGAATGAATGGCTGCTGCTTTCCTTGAACAAAAATATTCCAAAACAGGCAGGGATTACTTAAGCACAGCAATCTGTTACTGATATCAACATTAATTTCTGAGATGCCAAGAAGTCATACCCCATGAACAATAAGTTTGCAAGAGGATGCTCTATTTCCTACATATTATTCTTTTATTCTTTGGGGCTACAAGAGGAATGCAGCAGGGTAGTAGGACAAGCAAAAGCGATTCATCCAACATCGACGTACCCAGTGTGTCTCCCGTGTCTTCGTCTTCTCCGACCTCCACGCAACGGATCGAGAATGGGGGTTCCAGGTGACTAGAATGCAGCAGGGTAGTAGGACAAGCAAAAGCGATTCATCCAACATCGACGTACCCAGTGTGTCTCCCGTGTCTTCGTCTTCTCCGACCTCCACGCAACGGATCGAGAATGGGGGTTCCAGGTGACTGAAACCAAGGCGGGGAGCAGAACTGCAAGATGTCACAAACTGCAATATCCATGCACAAATATGCATTAGTTTTGAGATGAATAACAGGAAACTAAACACTCAGGGACAGTCATCAAGCATACTGATGGATTCCACTCTTATGGAATACCTTGCTGTTTAAAAAATAACAAACAAGTTGTGATGAATCAAAGTTGCAACAAAGAGAAATGATATGGGGGTAACGAGTTGAGAGATCGGCACACAGTAGTGGAGCTGTGAAGGCTAGTTATGTCAGATCAGTCAGTTAAATAAAGAGGAAAAGGGATGTGAAATTCTGAGACTGACAAAAGGGATAGAACATAGATAGATATGAGGCACTACAGTAAACTCTCGATACACCACCACTGTTGGTCTCGGTCGATTTTAACACTATATCAAAACACATGGCTTTAAAATTGTCAATTTTTTCTTAATTTATATAAAATATGCACCAAATTTCACATTAATTAATCCATGCTGCCAATGGTCCATGCCTTAGAATACACTAACTACACAGCTTTGGAAAATGATAATGGCTTTAAAATTGTCAATTTTTTCTTAATTTATATAAAATATGCACCAAATTTCCATTAATTAATCCATGCTGCCAATGGTCCATGCCTTAGAATACACTAACTACACAGCTTTGGAAAATGATATCTATTCCATCCATTATTAAATCCAATTAATTCTTATTTTTAATTAGTATAACTCCTATGCACCATCTGCTCACATTATCGTACCAAAAACAGGGAAAAATTGTTTTCAAAGTTTTGCTGACTTGACCACATTCACCTCCTAATGGCACACTTCCAATTTTTCCGCCCCTCTCCAATCTCTAGAGGCCCATTCTAACGCTAAATCACCCCTTACAATCTTGAAATCTATCATGCAACCAAAAGGAGCAACTGGCAGCATTACATTTCGCATATGGTATAATAATTGTGGCTGGTGAAGTATGTTGCTAAATGTAATATCAAGTAAGACTTACATAGAAAAGGCATGTTTGTGCAAGTAAAGGTGTTGCCAGGTGGCAGCTAGCGAGGGTGGCACTATAATGGGGGAGTGCCTGTGGTAAGCCTATGGGGAAGATTCGTTCTCAGGAAAGAGTTGATGGTGAGTGAGAGTGGTGGTATATCAAGGGTTGACAGTAGATGGTATTTAGAATTCACTTTCATCAAGTCTGCCAGGAAATTGGAAAAGGAAATCAAGTTTCAATCCCAAGAGTCAAATCATTCTAAACAATTTGTATTCTCCTGTGCTTTTCTCAACAGATGAAACAGTAATTTCAAACAGTCTCTATGAATGTCATAGAGACAGTGAGGCATAGAGTCAATGAGGCAAAGAATTCAGTCAAGACTGGTGACTTGCCATATCAGCAGTTCACTCCTCACTCTATACATAGAAGACCCACTACTATGAATGTTATATGTCACTTTCTTCTGCAAATGTAATACAAGCAAAAAAAGGCTCTTATAGAATAAAGTAGAGAGAGAGATGTATGAGGCACGAGGAGACCTTGAGGAAGAGTTGCCTTTCTTGTTCAGAGAAGTCCTTGTCAAGAGTATCCCAGAACCAGGTGATAAGACGATGCTTGTCATGAAATCCACCATAGTACTGTGTGTGCTTTCTCAGGTCCCTCAGATCAACACTGCAGGGATCACCTGATATCAATCGCTGCACCTATTTGAGAAACACCAGTCAATTGGTTCTTTCCTTGGGAAACACCTGCCCAATGCCTGCCAGAATCACTTCATTATCATTTCACTTGTCATCTTTCATATGGCAACTTAAAAAGATCTTAGCAATTCAAAGTGTCTGAGGAGTCCTCATTTTTCCACCTGGAAATGGTGGTCAAAGGGAACTGAAACATAGACTGCTATTGGGTTGGAAAGAAAGTCTTGCAACACTTTCTGACGAAGCCCTGCGGAACGCCCTCAACACGAAGCCGAATGCCACCACTCGCGAATTGGCGACTACACTTGGAGTCACCCATATGGCCATCGGAAACCATCTGAACGACCTCGGCTATCGGAAGGTTTACTCGACATGGGTCCCTCATCAGCTCAGCGACTCTGACAGAGCAAGCCGTGTCAGTGTCTGCGAATCACTGCTCCTTCGTCCGCACAGAAAGGACCTTCTGAAGGAAATCGTTACTGGAGATGCGAGCTGGGTCCTCTACGTCAACCATACTCGCAAGAGTCAGTGGCTCCCACGAAGAGAATTCCCGCCACACGAACCGAAACCAGGGTTCCACGAGAAGAAGGTTCTTCTCTGCTGTTAGTGGGATTCAGAAGGAATGTTGTACTATGAGCTCCTGCCAACTGGTACTACCGTGACTGCCGTTGTCTACGCTGCTCGACTTCAGAAGTTGGCTGGCGTCATTCAAAAAGAGCGTCCCAAACGCGACAAAGTTCTCCTTCTGCATGACAATGCTCGTCCACGTGTTGCGAAGATGACTCGCCAGACGATTTCGGAACTGGGCTGGGAAGTTTTACCCCATCCAGCGTATTCTCCGGACTTGGCCCCTTCCGACTATCACTTGTTCCGGGCCCTCGAGAATCACCTGCGGGACAAGGCCTTTGACGATCGAGCACAGCTCGAAAATGATGTAGGCCGTTTCTTCGTTTCGCAATCGCCAGAGTTCTGGGCAAAGGGCATCGAGCAGTTACCCATGCGTTGGGAACATGTCATAGACAACAATGGTCATTACATTGATGACTGAAATTGCAGTTCAATGAAGTTATAAAATTATGAAAAATTTGCACAGAGTGTTGCAAGACTTTCTTTCCAACCCAATATTTTCTTGAAAACAGAATTTGGTGGCTTCATAATATCTCACAATGAAGCCTTGGCAAAAAGACATGAAAAATTGTTTACTTTCTGTTGTTATTGTGAGTCCCTGATGACCCCAGTGTTAATAAGTTTACAGACAATAAAAAGAATGGTGAAATTGTGTCTGCAAAACAAAAATTTCCATAAGAACTTTTTAAATTCAATATTCTTAATGGGAGATATTCTTGAAGGAAAAAGAAAAGAGTGCAGAAGAAACGTATCACAGATAGAGGGAAATGCAAAGCCTAAGCTACANATGGCTTTAAAATTGTCAATTTTTTCCTAATTTATATAAAATATGCACCAAATTTCACATTAATTAATCCATGCTGCCAATGGTCCATGCCTCAGAATACACTAACTACACAGCTTTGGAAAATGATGATTCCATCCATTATTAAATCCAATTAATTCTTATTTTTAATTAGTATAACTCCTATGCACCATCTGCTCACATTATCGTACCAAAAACAGTGAAAAATTGTTTTCAAAGCTTTGCTGACTTGACCACATTCACCTCCTAATGGCACGCTTCCAATTTTTCCTTGCACTTAAAACTGTCCTTTCCCTCATCCATTGCTACTGAACAAACTTGAACTGCTGTCTGGAGATGCTGCATATAATCTTAATGAGAAGTTTCCATTCTGCAAAAGAAGAAACAGGATTAGGCACGCCTATATGCCCCTCTCCAATCTCTAGAGGCCCATTCTAACGCTAAATCACCCCTTACAATCTTGAAATCTATCATGCAACCAAAAGGAGCAACTGGCAGCATTACATTTCGCATATGGTATAATAATTGTGGCTGGTGAAGTATGTTGCTAAATGTGATATCAAGTAAGACTTACATAGAAAAGGCATGTTTGTGCAAGTAAAGGTGTTGGCAGGTGGCAGATAGCGAGGGTGGCACTAAAATGGGGGAGTGCCTGTGGTAAGCCTATGGGGTAGATTCGTTCTCAGGAAAGAGTTGATGGTGAGTGAGCGTGGTGGTATATCAAGGGTTGACAGTAGATGGTATTTAGAATTCACTTTCATCAAGTCTACCAGTAAATTGGAAAAGGAAATCAAGTTTCAATCCCAAGAGTCAAATCATTCTAAACAATTTGTATTCTCCTGTGCTTTTCTCAACAGATGAAACAGTAATTTCAAACAGTCTCTATGAATGTCATAGAGACAGTGAGGCATAGAGTCAATGAGGCAAAGAATTCAGTCAAGACTGGTGACTTGCCATATCAGCAGTTCACTCCTCACTCTATACATAGAAGACCCACTACTATGAATGTTATATGTCACTTTCTTCTGCAAATGTAATACAAGCAAAAAAAGGGTCTTATAGAATAAAGTAGAGAGAGAGATGTATGAGGCAGAGGAGACCTTGAGGAAGAGTCGCCTTTCTTGTTCAGAGAAGTCCTTGTCAAGAATATCCCAGAGCCAGGTGATAAGACGATGCTTGTCATGAAACCCACCATAGTACTGTGTGTGCTTTCTCAGGTCCCTCAGATCAACACTGCAGGAATCACCTGATATCAATCGCTGCACCTATTTGAGAAACACCAGTCAATTGGTTCTTTCCTTGGGAAACACCTGCCCAATGCCTGCCAGAATCACTTCATTATCATTTCACTTGTCATCTTTCATATGGCAACTTAAAAAGATCTTAGCAATTCAAAGTGTCTGAGGAGTCCTCATTTTTCCACCTGGAAATGCTGGTCAAAGGGAACTGAAACATAGACTGCAATTGGGTTGGAAAGAAAGTCTTGCAACACTTTCTGACGAAGCCCTGCGGAACGCCCTCAACACGAAGCCGAACGCCACCACTCGCAAATTGGCGACTACACTTGGAGTCACCCATATGGCCATCGGAAACCATCTGAACGACCTCGGCTATCCGAAGGGACCCTCCCGGAGTACTGGATCCGGAACGGTGGGGTACTAGCGAGGTCCGTCTTCCAGCCCGCGGATCGGACACCTGGGTTAAATAGCCGTGCAGGAGGTTCTGGGATCGGAGTGAACCCAACAAAACGTACGAGGGCGGGTATGGGATCTCAACTAAACTTTAATGCAAGCCACTAGTTTCCGACACCAATACGACAGATTTTCTTTGTCAGACCAATCAGGCCCCTTCCGACTATCACTTGTTCCGGGCCCTCGAGAATCACCTGCGGGACAAGGCCTTTGACGATCGAGCACAGCTCGAAAATGATGTAGGCCGTTTCTTCGTTTCGCAATCGCCAGAGTTCTGGGCAAAGGGCATCGAGCAGTTACCCATGCGTTGGGAACATGTCATAGACAACAATGGTCATTACATTGATGACTGAAATTGCAGTTCAATGAAGTTATAAAATTATGAAAAATTTGCACAGAGTGTTGCAAGACTTTCTTTCCAACCCAATATTTTCTTGAAAACAGAATTTGGTGGCTTCATAATATCTCACAATGAAGCCTTGGCAAAAAGACATGAAAAATTGTTTACTTTCTGTTGTTATTGTGAGTCCCTGATGACCCCAGTGTTAATAAGTTTACAGACAATAAAAAGAATGGTGAAATTGTGTCTGCAAAACAAAAATTTCCATAAGAACTTTTTAAATTCAATATTCTTAATGGGAGATATTCTTGAAGGAAAAAGAAAAGAGTGCAGAAGAAACGTATCACAGATAGAGGGAAATGCAAAGCCTAAGCTACAGCTTTTCATGTCCAGAATATAAAAAATATACCTGACCCCTCAAACTCGTTATAGTTTGGAGTCCCCACCTTTTTTCTCTCTCGGTAAGTCCCAACTACTACCAGGCCTTAGGAGAGACTTTGCGACGACAGACGAAACGATAAACCCAGGAGTTTCGAAAGTGAGCCACCTTGTGTATGTACTCAATCCTGGTGACACATACACAAGCAAGAAAATGGTTAGGTCCATGATCCACTTCAGTCAGAGAGAAACAATGGGTATGGCCACCACATGTGTTCATTTTGCACTACCTGGAGTTATTTAACCTCATACTAATGGATTTTTAAATCTCCAGTTGTGTGTCACGATGTTTTAAAAAGTAAACGTAAATTTAGTGTAACAACTTGTGCTCTTTTCTTGCATGTAGAAGCAATAATAAAAGTTATCTCTGTACTTTCTTTTTCAGTAAACGTCTTCTTTGTCATGAATATAACAATATGGGATTTCCATTTGTTGAACTAGGAATACTTTTTTCACCTAGAAAATGGGCTTTTGAATGGTGAAGGTTAATGGAAAATTAGGAATTTATATGGTCAATGGCAGGAATAGTTCATCTATAACTTTAAAATTTCAATGTTTCACTCCAACACATCCATTAAGTTTGTGCCATTGCATATCAAGGAAGGTCACAGGGGTGTTGGGAAAGAGATACAGTTTCAATTATTGGAGTTCAATTATTGGAGTAAATTGAGTAAACAAAGTAAAGTCTGTGTTCTTCAAATAACCATAACATTTCCATATATTAATATTAAGCACCTCTGGTTCATGTCTGTTTTTACAATTAAGGCTACTCTGTTTCTGTTTCTCAATGTTTTCATAAGCCTGCAGTTATTGTCAATGTTTTAACTGTAGATAAGGGCCAATGTATAAACTGGAATTTTCTTTCTGAGACTGTTTACTTGTTTTACAAGTTTCATAACCAGAGTCCTCAAACATGTGGTTGGAAACGAGAATAGTTCTTAATATAATTTCAGTAAGTTTCATTTACACTATTATCCCATTTAGACTGTGATCGAATAGAACACCAACAAAATTGATGTAGGTGTTAATAAATTTTATTATGTTAACCCTTTCATTGAAGCTGTGAAAGTATCATCTGTGTAGTAGAAATTTTGCAACCTCTTTTTTTTAACTGCATCATGCCTGATATCTATTTTCATCTAGATGGAAAATTTCACAAATATTTGTCCTGACAAACAATCTTGCAATTATAGTGAAGCAATCTGTGTAGTAGAAATTTTGCAACCTCTTTTTTTTTAACTGCATCATGCCTGATATCTATTTTCATCTAAATGGAAAATTTCACAAATATTTGTCCTGACAAACAATCTTGGCAATTATAGTGAAGCCTAATCACAATCATAAGAGCACATGTATTCAAGCTCAACCAACCCATATTTTCCAGATCATGCTTCTGCTCAAGAAGTGACAGAATAGGGCTAACTTGGCCTTTCAGGTTAAAAAAAAAAGTATCATAATCTGTGCAAATATGTTTTCACATGTATTCTGCAATTCACACTTTACTTGGAGTGATTCCCAAGTCCCACAGACTTTCAAAAATGACTTATACAAAGGACAAAACCTCTTCAATTGAAAAACCTTTGGAATGAATCGCTTTCAAAGGCAATAGGAAGTAGAATATCTGTAGATGTATGATAGGATTGGATGAAAATATGGCAAAAAAACACATTTTGCTCATGAAGATATTTTGATTGTTCACTTTTGTCAGAGCAAAAACTTCACTTTTTCACTCTCATCAAAATGACCTAAATCAGAAATTTTGAAAGACATCTTTGTCAACCTTCATGGACATGATTGCCTCAGATGAAGGGGTAATTGTATGAGGTGTGACCTACCTTTGGGAAGTGAAATAGATATCCAAGTTTTTACCTCAGATAAAAAATGAAAAAGGCAATAGGACAGGGAGTGGTGGCATGAACTAGGGAACACCCCCCTTATGAAAAATCTCTGTATCCACCACTATATATATGCAATCCTGTCCATGGGTGTCCTGTTCAGTGACATTAACAGGCATGTTGGGGGTGTATTTGGGGGGGGGGGGGGTGGTCAAGTCCAGGTAGCCCCTCCCCAAAATAAACCTCCCAATCTGCCTGTCAGGTCATCATGCAGTGTTAAGTGATGTCGCATCATATTCTGTGGTGGGGTGTACCATCCAGTACGGAGTTTGTTAATGGTTACTTCCTCACCCTGTAACCGTGGGGTAAGGAAAATGAGGTCAGGACTTGTAAAAAAGGTTGAAGGAACAGTTAGGTGAACTTTTTCCTTTGTCTACCCTCCTTATGGCCAAAAACACAGCTTCTGTGCAGATAGGCCTGCACAAAGAAGCATTAATGGTATTCTGGTGGGGTGATGTGGGTAGACAAGAAACTCACAAAGAAGGGTAGTAAATGGAAACTTCCATGAGAAGGGGGAGGGGGGATACTGGAAGGTGAGTGTGTGAGGGGAGAGTAGTAGATGGAGACTTCAAGAGGGGGAGCTTCTTCCTTGCTTTTCTTCTCACTTGCCATACAATCTCATTTTCACTCATTAGGCTGTTTGTTTTCCATTCATTAGACTGCAAAACATACTTGCCACTTGGTTAGAGGGAACTTTACTGGCCTGATTAATCCATTACTTAATATTCCTTCCCATATCTGTCTTTTTGCAAAAGTTACCTAGAAAAAAAACCCTTCAGCTCTGTTCATATATGAGTGTCATTTTCAGTCACTATTGATATCAATGATCAGTTAGCACCCTTGCCTGACCTAGAACACGACTTTCATTGACTCTACCGCTGAACCAAGCTATGGCAAATTCCCACCCTGAAAAGGATGTAGTGGGAACTAACTTGTTCTGATTGGTGACAGGAATGGCACGGCCTCCAGGAACAAACTCATGGGTCACCAGCTGTCCCAGGACATCTTCATCACAACTGAACCCCAGATCCAGCTCACTTACATCACCCTCATAGTGCTGTCAATTCAAACCCACACTCACAGATATTATTCACCTCAGCATTAAAACCATAGATCAGTCTTCCATGAAGCACATTCCATCAAATATTGATGTCAGTCTGCCTTCTTTACCTTCTAAAAGTTTTTGATCCTACGTCCAGGTAATTGTGAAAGGTCTGTTACCCTACCGTATCACCAGGAAAGGTGGGGGAGGAAAAGGTATACTCTTTTGACCTACATGTCAATGGGGTTAATAATTTCATTGGCAGGTATCAATGGTATACTCTGCAAGTCCCATGTTTGTCCAGGTGTAAGTTAGATCTGTGCATTTCATGTTGCCACCATCTGCTGTCTGCTACACCTGTTATAGCACATTGCATCCAGAAACCACTGTCTGGAAAGTGTTAATACATTCGCTTCAAAGTCTGTTTTATAGTTGCATCAAGGTAGGGCTGCAAGTAATAAAAAAATGTAATAAATTAACTGTAATCCATTAACACAATTAATTTAATTTAAATTGATCCCCTGTTTCCCCCTTGAATGTGGCAAAACAAAGATGAAGGTGGACTTTCTGTCTTCTCACAAACAATACTTTTTTGCATCATGCTCACAGCATTACCATTTTACTAGTATATCCCCTTTTTGTGACAGAGTACAGATTTGCTATTGCTGAATAGAGCTGTGCAAAAATGATTGCCTTCTTTTTGCCATCATATAATTGGATTTCAATCACAAAACCTTCATTTTTATTTTTACAAGCCTGCAAACCATACAGTGAAACCAAAATGAGAAAAAAAACAGGTACTTAGGTGTAGATTTGGAGACTGACTTAAACACTATTAAAACTTAAATTACCTCTTTGATTACAAGTTGAACTTCATGAAGGGCTGTACTGATTTTCATATGATACTTCTTGGTCATGACATAGTTACAAGCAAAAAAAATACCAGCATTCCATTTGCTGCATGTGGACTCCATTGCAATGTCAAATTTTCAATTCTTACCTAATAGTTAAGTGATATTGTGATATTGATGGATATATGGTGAACAGCATTAACCCTTTCAAAGCAAATATTACTCAGTCCTAACTTTCAGGTAGTAATTGGTTGACTTGTCTGATCAAATTGGCAGCTCTACATCAATGTTAAACAAAGGAAGTAATTGCTTGTCCAGAATAATGAAGGTTTGGGTGTAGAGCAGCACTGTTGTCTGCAGCTAAATCCTACAAGATTTTCAAAAACTAGGATGCAGGTCCATTAACACTTTCCAGACAATGGGATGGCATAGTGGTCCTTTCCACCCCCTCCTTTTCCATATGAGAAAACTGGATGTACAGTTACCCCAATTATTAAAGTTTGGCAGGTATCAATGGTATACTCTGCAAGTCCCATGTTTGTCCAGGTGTAAGTTAGATCCTTGCATTTCATGTTGCCACCATCTACTGTCTGCTACACCTGTTATAGCATGTTGCATCCAGAAACCACTGTCTGGAAAGTGTTAATACATTCGCTTCAAAGTCTGTTTTATAGTTGCATCAAGGTAGGGCTGCAAGTGATAAAAAAATGTAATAAATTAACTGTAGTCCATTAACACAATTAATTTAATTTAAATTGATCCCCTGTTTCCCCCTTAAATGTGACAAAACAAAGATGAAGGTGGACTTCCTGTCTTCTCACAAGACAATACTTTTTTGCATCATGCTCACAGCATTACCATTTCACTAGTATATCCCCTTTTTGTGACAGAGTACAGATTTGCTATTGCTGAATAGAGCTGTGCAAAAATGATTGCCTTCTTTGTGCCATCATATAATTGGATTTCAATCACAAAACCTTCATTTTTATTTTTACAAGCCTGCAAACCATGCAGTGAAACCAAAATGAGAAATAAAACAGGTACTTAGGTGTAGATTTGGAGACTGACTTAAACTCTATTAAAACTTAAATTACCTCTTTGATTGCAAGTTGAACTTCATGAAGGGCTGTAATGATTTTCATATCATCCTTCTTGGTCATGACATAGTTACAAGCAAAAAAAATACCAGCATTCCATTTGCTGCATGTGGACTCCATTGCAATGTCAAATTTTCAATTATTACCTAATAGTTAAGTGATATTGTGATATTGATGGATATATGGCGAACAGCATTAACCCTTTCAAAGCAAATATTACTCAGTCCAAACTTTCAGGTACTAATTGGTTGACTTGTCTGATCAAATTGGCAGCTCTACATCAATGTTAAACAAAGGAAGTAATTGCTTGTCCAGAATAATGAAGGTTTGGGTGTAGAGCAGCACTGTTGTCTGCAGCTAAATCCTACATAGAAGGCAAGTGTCAAGTCATGACCAGCAAAATCAAAATCAACAAGAATTGCCATTAGTCTAAAAAAAAAAACGGGAAAGGGGAGGGGGTGAGCATTCTGACTGAGATTGCTAGCAAAATCGTGAAGCTGCCAAAAGAAGGATCAGAAACTAACTTTGACGAAGGTGAGGTTCTTGAAGAGTTCATTGTCAAGAGAGGGAAGATCATCCATACACGAGTAAGAGTTACCCGACTGATGAAATCCAACCACTTGACTGAGGAAGAATGATGCAAAGCGTATGTCCACCACAATCCCCTATTATTGAATGAATGAATGCATGATGCAACCACTGCTGTGGGGATAGCCAAGAGAAGAACTCCAACAGAGAACCTCATAGATAGCTTTCCCCAACATTTTCCCAATGAATTCAAAGAGAAGGAGGTGATTCTCATGGATGTGGGATGTGGGTGAGGGATAGATGGTCCTGTCAGATGTCGTTTGGAAGAGGTTCAGCCCCGGATCAAACACCTGCTTCACCGTCTCTTCCAGGAACTCCTGCACATCCATTCATTCATATAGCAGCCCCACAGCACCTCCTCCAAAAAAATTCAATCAATTATGCATCTATATCTTGTATCACCAGTGTATAGTGTAACTGTACCAGTGCATAAAATTACATTGGTGCTCCTGAGGAGAAAAATCCAAGCCACCAAGTCACCTTGGGAGAGTTTTGCATGCATAAGTTTCTTTGACAGGCTGTGGCATATGCCCTACATGTCTTCATGTCTGTTATTCTTGCCATCTAAACTTCACTTTTCTTTCATATCTACTTAAATAAATTATTCCTGTCATAGGTAAACTTTCAGCATCAATGCAATCAACAGTCATATCCAGGAAGGTCTGGTTCTCAACGTGTTGACTGCCATGTGACCACTGGCATGCCAAAAACAACACCAAATGGCAGCCTTGGTAGTTAAAGTGTTAAGCCATATACTTGCTCATGCCAATTGGTATGTAACATGTTTACTATGTTTGCTTAATTTAAAAGAATATCTACCCAAGTAAGTCTCTAATGTAACATATATCAGCATGACAAATACTACCCCAAGCTCATGAGGATGCACTCCAACCATGCAATGCCTTGGAAAATTCCCATGTGTGAAAGTCTGCTCTGAAAAACCATACTATAATATTTCAAGGAGGTGCCAGCTTTCATGTTTTCATGACAGAAGCATTTGGTTGACATGTGTCTCATGAAAGTAGAGCATAAAACCAGAAAGAAAAATCCAATATCATTGAACCAGTGAGGAGAGGAGGTCTTTCCTTTAGACCAGGGCCTTGCAGAGGATGGGAAGGATTAATGCTCTTTCCAATCTGCAAGGAAATCACTTTCACATGCTTTTGTAAATGTTTATATATGAGCATCCCAACCTATTGACCCTGCATGATCAGGAATAGTTGGCACCATCCTTAGCTCATATGTCCACTACTGATAGGATATGCAAGAGGCATGAGGGTAGGGCATTTTACCAATTAATCCCATTTATTGGATGAACTTCAGTCAAGGAGGACATTGAAAGGGGAATAGACTGCTAGACACTGAAGTGTGCCAGAAGAGATAAAATGAAATTGCCCATTATTTTACTTTGCACATATGAGTGTTTTCTGTTAAGGAAGTTAAACACAGTGCAAGGAGTAATGGTGAATCCCAGCATGGGAACAAAGCTGAGCACTACTCCCAATCTGAGCTGCATTACTTCAATATGTTATCACACCACTATCAATGAGGCATTAATACAAAACTTGTAAGACTGGTCATGACATACCATATTCCTAAAACACACAGTATAAGAAGGCACAAGTTTAAATCATGATTTGTTCATATGTTTTTCAATACATTAAACTATACATTGACAACATTTTCCAGAGGACAAGGGTTCCATACATGATAATGAAATGGATTTCTAAGAAGAGCAGGAACAATGAAAACAGTGATATTTCCAATGGCCCCACAAACCACAATGGAATGATGTTTGAACAAGCCCCATAGGAATTGGATCGACAATGACCTACCTTGAAGACACCATCCTGGTCGATGCCAGCCTCATCCAGTCCCTGGAGGTTGATGAACTTCACCCTAATGACTCCCTTCAGGGCTGTTGGGGTCAATGATGACAACTGCCGATATCCATCATCCACTAAGCTGCTCCTGTTGTGTGCAGAAAGAAAATTATCACTGCACTACTCACTCCCTTTATAACTTTATTCCTAAAGCAAGTATTGCCAGGCCCATAGAGAGACAGGGGGGGGGGAGTAAAAGGGGCAATTTGCCCTGGGCTTCCCATTGCTGGCACCCCCTCCCCCTCCCTCCAGTTTCACAGGTTCAAGGCCCTCACCAATAAAACTGTCCCAGGCCCCATAATTCTTTCAGCAGCCCTGGGTATTGCATAACGTTCATGACCTTTTGCCTACCGGTGTACACTGATGACAGTAGAGAAGCAAGAGTGAGATGGAGAAGAATCCAAGAGGCCAAGTCGCTCCTTATCCTCTTGTATGGCCTTGCGGAACAGGATGACCCTCTCATGATGAGGAATCAAGTGGGGCATCTTCTTCATTAGCACCTGTTTATCATTTCAAGGAAAAACAGCTTATTGGAAGCCCAAAGATACTTTGATATATCTGTGCAATGTATATTTGAAAATGCAATCAAACAGCATTTTTTCTAAATAAATCTGGAATAGAGGACCAAGATGAAAGTGTTCACCAGAGCACATGGCTTCTTTTTCTCCAGCTCATACAGAAAGGAGGAGACACTGACATCCTTTAGAAGCCAGTGATTTGGCATTGTGAAACATCTCCGTGAGTCCCGCCAGTAGATCAGCACCAGCATCTTGTGCAGCGATGCAAACAAATGATTCTCAGACAATCCATGGGAGGCTGAAACAAGTGCCACATGTTATGGCAAGGAAGTCACTAATCACGTAACCTTTCATCAATAACGATATGGTACTTCCACTCACAAATCAGCTCCGTCCAAAGAGATTTGAAGAGGAACTGGTTCAAGAAGCGTGACAGAGAAGTCAGATCAGAGAGGGAGATGGGTTTCTGGTCTACATAGAGTTCCTTGTCATCCAGGATTCTGAAAAACGAGAAAACATCAGTGATTGGCCAGTTATTTCCTAAAATTAACAAGTTACAGTAATAAGTACTTGATTGAAACAGTTCTGTTTCCAACAAAAAAGATACAGTTAAAAATAGACTTGTTTTTCCTGATTTTTGAACCTGGCAATAAAACAACCTAATTTGAATTAATGCCAAAATGTGATTATTATAGCATGAAGTCACCATCACATCAATGCAAGAGCTGCTTCTCAAAATACATATCTCATGTATCAAATATTCTTAACAACCCTGACCTTCATATCTCTCTCTTCTACACTGAACATGAAGTTAGATAAGGTAATGGCAAGCAAAGGAGAGTAACACTCATTCTGTGATAATGGTTTTTTTTCTTCTCTTCTTCATTAAAGTTCAGTCGAATAATTACGAATGGATGAACTGAAAATTAGAAAAGATTTTCTTGGCAGGTTCATTGCAAAAATTGTTTAGCAAATCATTTGTTATCAAAGTTTTGTACAACTCCACTTTCAACTACTTGCTTGGCTACAGTAATGGTTACCTGCAGGATAAGCAAAAAGCTACAACATAAGGCATTGAAAAAATATAATGAAGTGCCATGAACTTGATATTGGATCTTATTATGGTAAAAAGGAACACTACTCACTAATGGAAAAATGCAACTCATTCCAATAACAGACTTGTTCATAACCTCCATTCCTTCTTGCCAAAAAAAGAAATGATTAATGACTTTCAAAATCTAACTTACAATACCACAAGTCACAAAAAAAGTTAGTGATGCATTACTTTCTCAGTTACTGAACATTGAAAAACAACAGGAAATCTTGAGAATGTGGATGAGATCTCTCATTGAAAGAGATGGACTTACGTGATAAGATAAGTGGCACATTTACAGAACAGAGTTAGCAAGGAAAATTCTGGGATCTTGCACTTGGGATCAAGAGCTAAGAGATCAAGCCATAATTTTAGGCCAAAGTTTGGTGCCAAAGATTCCAGGAACTTCAGAAGATGAGGCAGGAGGAAATCTCCACAACATAATCCTGTCACAAGAGAAACCAAATGGTATCATTTATGGCTAAGTGCTCAAAAAACAAAAATTTAAAGGCAAATAACCAGAGAGGATGTCCAGTTGAACAGGAGCAAGTGTGCTGAGGCATGCCATGTACATCTGAGATGCACGAGCAACCTTCTGCACAGACAATGAAGAAATCTTCTTCCCCACTGCTTCCCCCCTCTTTCCAGGAGTGATACGCTTGAGAAACCAATGAATGGAGTGGGATTCTTCTTCAGGAGACTCAGGTTCCCTGGCAACAAGGGCCTGGAAACACCACTTGATCATCACCATGCTCCAGAGGGAGCTCAACTGAGTCTTCACCACTGGGAGAAGTTCCATGGTTCCAGGATCCAATGGATATGGGAACCATCCAAGGACAGGATGCCACACAGTTGACTTGGCACCTCTGCCCCGACAATTGCTTCCGATGACATCAATTGACTCTCGCACCACCTCCTACGTGAGTGGACATCCGCAGATTATCCACGCAAAACATGAAGAGTCTGATGCCCATAACTTCCGAAGGAAGACAGAAATGACAAAATAATTAAACACAGTGAGAACATAATACTATATAAAATATTCAAAATCTTGATAAAATCTAAGAAATCTAGTCAGGATGAAATAATCTGAAAAATAGGTCATGACCACTTGATTTTGTCACTGTACCAATGAAGAAATACATTTTTTATATTTAAATCTCAAAATGTATAGCATCCTCTTTTGATGTCAAACTATATGAGGTCTGATCAAAAAGTTCTGGGACTGAATTTTTTATGACACTGTGGTGACTCTTTCCAGCTACTGATGGCTATTCATAGTAGTTCAGAGTAGTCCCTTCGGCATCCACACAATTTTTCCACTGTTTCTCTTGAGCTGCTGGAAGCATTGCTGATGTGAGTGCTGCTGGTAATTCCAAAAGATGAGTATCAGCAATGCTTCCACGTCAACTTCTTTGTGACCTTTTTAACACGACTACGGCTTCCCCTGATGAAGTTTCCTCTATCGGTAGTCACCGGTCTTTCTCAGTGGTGTCGTATTGTTTTTTTAACTCAGAGTCTTGAAAAACTACAGACTTCATGGAACAGATGAGAGATGAGAATTGGCAAGCAATGAAAGTGAATGCAGATACAAAATACCATATCTATGCAGAACTCGTGATCAAACAATGAAAACATTTCCAGTTATACTCCTAATTTGTTTTATTTTTCTTTTCAAGCACTCACAGAAAAATGAAGGTCCAGATCCCCTTCAGCGGGGAGAGTATGGTTGAAGAGAGTAGTCAGATGGATGAAATTGGCAAGGAATGAGAGGAGTGGATTTCCTTTTAAGCTCATCACCACCTCAGTCTGGTTCCCAGACTCCCCCATGTATTTCAACACATGCACCAACACATTACTGCCTTCCATCTCCTTCAATGCCTGGAAAGAAAAATGACAAACCATTTTCCTGTGAGAATTCCTGCGAAGGCCTCCACAGAGAAGGAAAAGCCCAGTGGAGATGCAAGGTATGCACAGAAAAGGGAAAACATAGTGGGCAGAAGAAATGCAGGGATATAGCAATCAAGTGCAGTGCCTGTGGAGTGTCATTATGCATCATTCCATACTTTGAAGCTTACACCACATGAAGAAAATTTTCAGGGAATAATGAGCCAGAAATTAATATGCATAGACTGTAAAATAAAGATTAATTCCCATTATATTCACTATATGTATAACTTTTAATTTTTCTTGAAATGTGACATGAATTTGAATTCAAGTTAATTCCTCTAAATAATTAAATTTCAAAAGAAATATATTTCTCAATAAACCCCCTACTTTGCAAATGAAAATAATCAACAATCATATTTGCATCTTTGCTCGTTATTTTTCTATGAATTTTTCTGAACCCTAAAGCATCCCAGTTTCTGTGAACAGTGCAATTTAAACAAATGCAGGAGCAAAAGTGCTAAGATTCAGACAGGACATGGACATGATGCGAGGAAATGTCAAAGGATTGCAGAAAGCATCAGGTGATGCTCCTTTGCCATATTGGATTATGGCCCACAGGGCAAGTCATGATTTGTGAAATACAGAAATATGGATGTTCTGGATACTGCTCTAGAAGGCATCATCACAAACTTCAACAAAAACAGCTTGCCAATGGCATAAAACATCTCCCAGAAATATAGCAACATGTTCATGACATGCAGGGCACCTATAGGGATGGTGAAATGATAAGTCTGAGACACAAATGGTTTTGAAATTACAGATGTGTTGCAATGACTATTGTATGACTCTTGTATATCTTGCTTGCAATTTTCAGCAGTAATCATTCCTAGAACTCCAACTGCAACCCCTTCAGATCTAAATGTTTTCAATGGGATCATGTACAACAAAGCTGATGACTGGAGAGACTATAGTGGATATTTTCTTTGCAGTCAAAGCAATGTGGCTGCACAAGGCACCAGCAACCCATACAGAATTAACTTGGAACAGAGAAGAGGCTTTCTTTTGTACCTCTTCATGAGGCCTATGCTGCTTTTCACATTATTTTGACAGTAATGGGTTAACTCTTCCATGNGGAGACTCAGGTTCCCTGGCAACAAGGGCCTGGAAACACCACTTGATCATCACCATGCTCCAGAGGGAGCTCAACTGAGTCTTCACCACTGGGAGAAGTTCCATGGTTCCAGGATCCAATGGATATGGGAACCATCCAAGGACAGGATGCCACACAGTCGACTTGGCACCTCTGCCCCCACAATCGCTTCCGATGACATCAATTGACTCTCGCACCACCTCCTACGTGAGTGGACATCCGCAGATTATCCACGCAAAACATGAAGAGTCGGATGCCCATAACTTCCGAAGGAAGACAGAAATGACAAAATAATTAAACACAGTGAGAACATAATACTATTTAAAATATTCAAAATCTTGATAAAATCTAAGAAAATCTAGTCAGGATGAAAGATGCAGAAGTGAGGCATATAGGAGGGGGAAATAATCTGAAAAATAGGTCATGACCACTTGATTTTGTCACTGTACCAATGAAGAAATACATTTTTTATATTTAAATCTCAAAATGTATAGCATCCTCTTTTGATGTAAAACTATATGAGGTCTGATCAAAAAGTTCTGGGTCTGAATTTTTTATGACACTGTGGTGACTCTTTCCAGCTACTGATGGCTATTCATAGTAGTTCAGAGTAGTCCCTTCGGCATCCACACAATTTTTCCACTGTTTCTCTTGAGCTGCTGGAAGCATTGCTGATGTGAGTGCTGCTGGTAATTCCAAAAGATGAGTATCAGCAATGCTTCCAGCAGTTGAAGAAACACTGGAAAAATTGTGCTGATGCCGAAGGGGACTACTTCAAAGGAGATAGCCATCAGTGGCCAGAAAGAGTCACCACAGCATAACAAAAAAATTGAGTCTCAGAACTTTTTGATTAGACTTCATGGAACAGATGAGAGATGAGAATTGGCAAGCAATGAAAGTGAATGCAGATACAAAATACCATATCTATGCAGAACTCGTGACAAACAATGAAAACATTTCCAGTTATACTCCTAATTTGTTTTATTTTTCTTTTCAAGCACTCACAGAAAAATGAAGGTCCAGATCCCCTTCAGCAGGGAGAGTATGGTTGAAGAGAGTAGTCAGATGGATGAAATTGGCAAGGAATGAGAGGAGTAGATTTCCTTTTAAGCTCATCACCACCTCAGTCTGGTTCCCAGACTCCCCCATGTACTTCAACACATGCACCAACACATTACTGCCTTCCATCTCCTTCAATGCCTGGAAAGAAAAATGACAAACCATTTTCCTGTGAGAATTCCTGCCATGGCCTCCACAGAGAAGGAAAAGCCCAGTGGAGATGCAAGGTATGCACAGAAAAGGGAAAACATAGTGGGCAGAAGAAATGCAGGGATATAGCAATCAAGTGCAGTGCCTGTGGAGTGTCATTATGCATCATTCCATACTTTGAAGCTTACACCACATGAAGAAAATTTTCAGGGAATAATGAGCCAGAAATTAATATGCATAGACTGTAAAATAAAGATTAATTCCCATTATATTCACTATATGTATAACTTTTAATTTTTCTTGAAATGTGACATGAATTTGAATTCAAGTTAATTCCTCTAAATAATTAAATTTCAAAAGAAATATATTTCTCAATAAACCCCCTACTTTGCAAATGAAAATAATCAACAATCATATTTGCATCTTTGCTCGTTATTTTTCTATGAATTTTTCTGAACCCTAAAGCATCCCAGTTTCTGTGAACAGTGCAATTTAAACAAATGCAGGAGCAAAAGTGTTAAGATTCAGACAGGACATGGACATGATGCGAGGAAATGTCAAAGGATTGCAGAAAGCATCAGGTGATGCTCCTTTGCCATATTGGATTATGGCCCACAGGGCAAGTCATGATTTGTGAAATACAGAAATATGGATGTTCTGGATACTGCTCTAGAAGGCATCATCACAAACTTCAACAAAAACAGCTTGCCAATGGCATAAAACATCTCCCAGAAATATAGCAACATGTTCATGACATGCAGGGCACCTATAGGGATGGTGAAATGATAAGTCTGAGACACAAATGGTTTTGAAATTACAGATGTGTTGCAATGACTATTGTATGACTCTTGTATATCTTGCTTGCAATTTTCAGCAGTAATCATTCCTAGAACTCCAACTGCAACCCCTTCAGATCTAAATGTTTTCAATGGGATCATGTACAACAAAGCTGATGACTGGAGAGACTATAGTGGATATTTTCTTTGCAGTCAAAGCAATGTGGCTGCACAAGGCACCAGCAACCCATACAGAATTAACTTGGAACAGAGAAGAGGCTTTCTTTTGTACCTCTTCATGAGGCCTATGCTGCTTTTCGCATTATTTTGACAGTAATGGGTTAACTCTTCCATGTTTCACCTTAAAAAAAAAAATCATTGTTCAAGAGCCACCTGCGCAAAAATAATTGCCTTCTACAATCCATCATTTAATTGAATTCCAATCACAAATGATTCACTTTTACCTTTTTTGTGCAACTAAGCACAATGTCATGAATTTGAAAGATAGAAAATATATGCATTGTCCTCCAATAATGCAATAATGCGATTGTATCTCTAGACATGTTCCATATCTATTTTTCTTTCTAGCAATGAATAGACAGCATCATGCTTTGCATCTTGAGCTTGGTGAAATTACTGATAACGTACCTGAGGGGAAGTGGAATGGATGAGCTGGATCACAGCAGGAATGGTAAGGAAGTGTTGGATGAAGAGACCAAGAAAATTTAGAGGAAAATTCCCTGCCACCAGAGGGCGAAGAGTCAGAGATACCAGTGCCATCAGAGAGGTTGCCTTCATCATGCTTCTTGATTCTATCAGCACCATCTTCCTCATCCCAAACACGTCAGATATTAGCACATACAGGATTAAGGGACTGAACAGAATGAGACAACCTTATGCAGTACCTGAATGGTTTGATAGAGGTCATTGAGGACTAGGTGGCCAAGAGCGTTCTCAGCAAGCTTATGAAAACAAGGCTGAAGTGAAGGAGGGGACGAGGACCAAAAACCCCAGGAAGATGGATGGGTAAATGTGACTAGCATGTGAAGATGCGTTGTCATGGCTTTTCGATCTCCTTTGGCAAGAAAAAGGAGTGTGAGAACCAAAGCTCGCTTGATGTGGACTATCCATGACACAGCATGCTCCCTCTTCAACATGATCCCTGCATATGAATCCTCCAGATTCTTCTTCCCCATGCTCTCCAGAACATACCTACACATAAATGCCAATAAGGAACTGATAAGTACCTTGGAACATCACATAATCATACAATCTGCTCATGTGTATTCATAGGGCAGAAAAACATGAAATTAACTTTACCTTTAAGTTTACCTGAACAGCAATAATACGGTGCTCTCACTAATGCAAAAAATAAATAGCCCAATCAGAAACCCCATACAGCACATATACAAATTATAATTTGAAATGAATGCTATACTTTCTCATTAATAAATACAAATTTTATTTTCTTCTGGGTCACTTCCATCCACTTAATCTCAGCATCTAAGAAAAGAAAAACATGAATGGCATTAAAATTAAGGATAATTATTTTTCCCATTAAGACATCCACTCTTGAAAACAAAAAAGTAATTTCAGGCTCCTAGCCTCCTCTCTCCCTCATCACACAAGAATCAGAGAACCTTGTGCCTCCTCTTCTACTGCCCAACCAGTTATCAGAAATGTGAACAAAAATTTATCTCAGAGGAGTGTTATTCAAGGCCTAATGTCAGTGCTCTCTTAACCCCTTAACTGGGTTAGATGTCTTTTGATGTCTGACCTCCCATAGGTTAAAATGCATTTGGTGAAATACTTCCCAGCTAAGGGGTTAATTGATGGCTTCCTCTCTCTTTCTGCAGCCATCAACATTCCCCAGATTCACATCTACCTATGAGGGGCAGTCAAATAAAAACAGGACATGTGCATTAGGAGCAACAACCAAGAATGTCCTGTTTTCATTTCCTCACATACAGGGTGGGCCAAAAAAAATTTCAATATTTTTCATTTAGTTGTCACATATTCACTAACTGAGACAGATGCCTGCAATTTATGCCATTATGCTGTGCAAACTGGGGTTTCTCCCTCTCATCCACACGTGCAGGTCAGCATTGCATGCAAAAACATCCCCTGGAAATATGATAGGCAGATGAAAAATGAACTCCAAACAGCCAAAACAACAGGGTCTATGCAGACTCAGGCCACAAGAGCCTCACTCCTATGAACTGTCCTGTTCACAATGGTATCAGTAGGTTTGTCACACAGCAGCAGTTTTCCACCTCTTGCCATAAAATTTGTCACTCTGGAAATACTTCTCTACTGACTTTCAAAATAAAACGTGCATTTGATTGAAGCTCAGCAATTCTAAAAAATGGTACAGATTGTAGGCACTTGACTTTGCTAGCAAAAATGTTACAGGTGAATGAAAATAGAACGTTTTGGCCCACCCTATATATTACTGCTGCTTCAAAAAGTTTCACCTGTTTCTGATGAGCAAGTTAATGAGATCATCAGACCTTGAGACACCAAAATGATACTACCTCATCTTGGGGTTGGGAAGCTGGAATTTAGAATACAAGCACCCTGTGTCCTTTGAGGAAGAATACCAAGTGTGTTTAAAAAATGGAGCGAAGCAAAAGACAAATTTGGATTTATTTGGTATAACTGACTGGAAGAATTGATTTGTACACACATTAAAAAAATAACTGAATATCTGAGGCATATAGCAGTACAAGGAGAGGAAGAGCAACGTGGAGGACTAGATAAAAAAATTTCATTAATATGCTCATTTGATTGCCCTAATTGCATTCATCTACCACCAACCCCCTTCTTCACTGGGAAATTTAAAGTAAAAATTCCTCCAAAGTTCTTCTGCTAACATCATAACATTCCGATGGGACAGACAAACTTTTAATGACAACCAGCAGGATGATGCTTCCCTTGCAGCTACTTTTGGAATAATCATATGTCTACACCTGGGACTTCCTCCTCATGCTTCACCCTCAAACACCTGTGAACTAGAGGAGGACCCTCTTCTTTTCTTACCTGATTGTGATGATTGGGTGAATGACAACAAATTTACCACATTCTATTAGTTAGGGGTGGAGACCCCATTTTCCATCTTCAAGCAATTTAAGATGAAGATAGAGAACAAAAACTGCAAGTGGGATCACAAATGAACAGATTAAGCCTCACACTAGAGAGTCTCATTAAAATGAAACACATGATCTTTGGTGGGTGGGAAGATGCTATTCTGAGTCCCTCATCTATGACAACTCCACACTCCAAGCTGCAGAGGCAAAAGAGGTGCTATAAGAATTCTAAGTGTTTACAGGGACCCACCCAAAATCCTTGCTGATACATTCTCATTTGTACTGCTCCTTTCCACTCTCTTCTTCATATCCTATGAACTATTTCACCTGGACTTGGGCTTGCTCAACATGGTTTCTAAAGCCATAAACTCCATCCATGGATGATTTATTTAAACATGTATAAATACTTGGAATTAGGAAGTGGGATCTCACTTGAGATATCTGATGAATAGAGTTTCATCATCAGGTATTTTGATGTAAGGGAAGAGCTTGAGTACAGCCTCATATACCTTCAATGGATCACTGGAACTGGAAGCATCCAACGCTTCTGCTAAGTTCTTCCTAGAATACCATTCATACAGAAAAGCCTACATGATGTAACATGGAAAACCATAATCAAGTGTCAGCTGGAAACCTTGGACATTGTCCATGAATATCAATGATGCTTTTGCATGCACCAACCAATATATGCTCAGACATGCAACATAGAGTAAATACATTTTTAACATAGAGAAAAGGAATAAATTGATAAATTCCATATAGAAAAGTGTCAATGGCATAAACAATTTATCAAGAATAAAAAGATGACCATTCTTTTGTTGAACCATTCAAAAGCTTTTTTGTTCAAGTACACTCAAAAAGGGTTCAAATACAAGGAGTGCATGTAGAAAAATTTTCAGTAGCAAATTACTTTCTTAAATCCAACAACCCAAAGGTTCACAATTCCTTCACCTCCCAGACTAAAGAGTGGGAAACCAAGGATGTCATGGAGAAAATGAGTTGTTTTGGATTGAGGACATGCAACAAGAAGGTATGAGCTTAACAGCAACAGATGACATTTTTTATGATTGAAATTTGGTGAAATCTCATTTAAGCATCTAGTGTGGTGATAAACTAAACTATTGGTCACAATTGTATTGGTGTATTCCATTCATTCTATTGGTAATTGCTCTGTACTGCTAGTCTTTCCAAGCTCAGAATTTCAGCCTAGCTAGCATTGACACACCTTGCTGACTCCTTCAACTATGGGGTTCATCAAAGTATCACCATGCAGTGAGTGGGCTAGGAGCTCCAACAGAAAGACCTGAACTAGGTCCAGCATGAGAAGTGCATTAAATGGTGCCTCAGCTCTGGTCATAATTCAGAAATTATCAAGTCAACTGTGACTGTGACATGAGGGAAGACGCATTGTTCAAGAGTGAATGAAGAGTTGCAGAGCCCAGCACCAGTGTATTAAGATTCTGAACTCAAAAATACAAATGGTGGAAAGCATAAGTTGTGAATTATGTAAACAATACATTCCAATATTTGCTCTACTGCTAGAAAAAAATTTTCACTGAATGCAGTATGCCAAAAATGGGAAGAACAGAGGTTGCAATTGAATGCATGATCCAAAGCCTTGGTATAATGGAAGCAGCAAGTCAACATACCTGATGAGGCTTTGGAATTTTCTTCTCTGCAGACATCCTCGGAACTGTGTCTGGATCCTGATGACAGCCTGATCTCTAGCTTTCTCTTGCTCTCGCTCTGCTCGAGCTGCTTTGGCTTTTTCAAGAAAGGACTCCTTGGTGTCCTTTTTAGGGGAAGGATTTACAAACTCAACCTGTGACTCCATTCTTATCACTTTTCACTTTTTCTCATCTTCAGTTTCGTTTTTATTAGCAGACTTGTGACAAGAAAGAGATGTCTTAGCGGCTGAAAAGGCCAAGGAAAATTAAGCATTTTAATTATGCAAATAATATACAGTGAAGATTCACATGGGAAGAGCCACAGAATCCCAAAGCTTCATTGACAGTAATGGCCAAGAAGTTTCTCTTTTTTTTCGCATAGCAATGTTGTTTGAAGGATTATGAGGCCCTGCTGAGGCCTCAGCCACTTTCTGATAGGAAGTGGCTTCCTTCCTTAATGCTTTGAGAACTAGAGGAAGAAGGATGATGGACTTCCATGCACTTCCTCATGCCCTCAAATGTTCATTCCAATGAAGGCTCTTCACACAAACGGGCTGTACCCCTTCCAAGTAAGACCAATCCCAGGATATCTACTTTTTCATATTAACTTCATCAATCCCTATAATTAAAAAAAAAACTTCACCACCACATATAGGGTTCTTTCACATTCTATCCTTGGTAGAACAATCCATACCTACTCATCGTTGATATTGCTTCACCAGAAATTTCCGAATCTGGCTGTAGTGCAATGCAATACAAAATCTAGCATGCCCACATTAGAAATTAGTTGATAGCTCTACAATTTGTACGGATGAGAGTGTCTCTCTTTTTCTTTCTAAAAAGAGAAAAGAGAAGAAACAATATATTTTTTTATAAAAAGAAAAGTTCATTAAAGCATAATTCTCTGGATGAAACTAGGGAGAGAGATTATCCATTGGCCCTTGTCCCTTCCAACTTTTATATTGCATAAATATGCTCTCTGCAAAACAGAGATCACACCAACATCTTCTTTGGGGAATTGCTGCAAACACAAGTTACCATGTACGAGTACAAAAGACAGTTACAAATAAAATGCACAACTGGGAATCAAATGAGGTAAAAAAAAAACCTAAATACAGCAAAGGGAGCAACTGATTCATATCAGATCTTGTACATAATCCTTCAAGGAATACTTTATTTTCACTTCAGTAGAAATGCAGACACACAATACTTCTCACAAAATTCTTATCATACTCTCTTTCTTTGTGGCAACATCATGCTTTACGATGTTATTAAATGTCATCCTCTTTTTTCAATATGAGTAGGGGAGAGAGGATCACACTTTCTGCATTTTATAAAGGCAGGAACCAAACAGAACTGAATAAAATCTCATCCAGAAAAGTGAACTTGAAAAGTTTATAGAGAAAACCAAATCACAGGGGCATTACAAAATCACACGAAACATTCTCTATNTCTCACTTGAGATATCTGATGAATAGAGGTTCATCATCAGGTATTTTGATGTAAGGGAAGAGCTTGAGTACAGCCTCATATACCTTCAATGGATCACTGGAACTGGAAGCATCCAACGCTTCTGCTAGGTTCTTCCTAGAATACCATTCATACAGAAAAGCCTACATGATGTAACATGGAAAGCCATAATCAAGTGTCAGCTGGAAACCTTGGACAATGTCCATGAATATCAATGATGCTTTTGCTTGCACCAACCAATATATGCTCAGACATGCAACATAGAGTAAATACATTTTTAACATAGAGAAAAAGAATAAATTGATGAATTCCATATAGAAAAGTGTCAATGGCATAAACAATTTATCAAGAATAAAAAGATGACCATTCTTTTGTTGAACCATTCAAAAGATTTTTGTTCAAGTACACTCAAAAAGGGTTCGAATACAAGGAGTGCATGTAGAAAAATTTTCAGCAGCAAATTACTTTCTTAAATCCAACAACCCAAAGGTTCACAATTCCTTCACCTCCCAGACTAAAGAGTGGGAAACCAAAGGATGTCATGGAGAAAATGAGTTGTTTTGGATTGAGGACATGCAACAAGAAGGTATGAGCTTAACAGCAACAGATGACATATTTTTTATTATTGAAATTTGGTGAATTCTCATTTAAGCATCTAGTGTGGTGATAAACTAAACTATTGGTCACAATTGTCTTGGTGTATTCCATTCATTCTATTGGTAATTGCTCTGTACTGCTAGTCTTTCCAAGCTCAGAATTTCAGCCTTGTTAGCATTGATAGGAACACACCTTGCTGACTCCTTCAACTATGGGATTCATCAAAGTATCACCATGCAGTGAGTGGGCTAGGAGCTCCAACAGAAAGACCTGAACTAGGTCCAGCATGAGAAGTGCATTAGATGGTGCCTTAGCTCTGGTCATAATTCAGAGATTATCAAGGCAACTGTGACTGTGACATGAGGGAAGATGCATTGTTCAAGAGTGAATGAAGAGTTGCAGAGCCCAGCACCAGTGTATTAAGATTCTGAACTCAAAAACACAAATGGTGGAAAGCATAAGTTGTGAATTATATAAACAATACATTCCAATATTTGCTCTACTACTAGAAAAAATTTTTCACTGAATGCAGTGTGCCAAAAATGGGAAGAACAGAGGTTGCAATTGAATGCATGATCCAAAGCCTTGGTATAATGGAAGCAGCAAGTCAACATACCTGATGAGGCTTTGGAATTTCCTTCTCTGCAGACATCCTCGGAACTGTGTCTGGATCCTGATGACAGCCTGATCTCTAGTTTTCTCTTGCTCTCGCTCTGCTCGAGCTGCTTTGGCTTTTTCAAGAAAGGACTCCTTGGTGTCCTTTTTAGGGAATGGAGTAACAAACTCACCCTGTGACTCCATTCTTATCACTTTTCACTTTTTCTCATCTTCAGTTTCGTTTTTATTAGCAGACTTGTGACAAGAAAGAATGTCTTAGCGGCTGAAAAGGCCAAGGAAAATTAAGCATTTTAATTATGCAAATAATATACAGTGAAGATTCACATGGGAAGAACCACAGAATCCCAAAGCTTCATTGACAGTAATGGCCAAGAAGTTTCTCTTTTTTTTCGCATAGCAATGTTGTTTGAAGGATTATGAGGCCCTGCTGAGGCCTCAGCCACATTCTGATAGGAAGTGGCTTCCTTCCTTAATGCTTTGAGAACTAGAGGAAGAAGGATGATGGACTTCCATGCACTTCCTCATGCCCTCAAATGTTCATTCCAATGAAGGCTCTTCACACAAATGGGCTGTACCCCTTCCAAGTAAGACCAATCCCAGGATATCTACTTTTTCATATTAACTTTATCACTCCCTATAATTGAAAAAAAAACTTCACCACCACATATAAGGTTCTTTCACATTCTATCCTTGGTAGAACAATCCATACCTACTCATCATTGATATTCCTTCACCAGAAATTTCCTAATCTGGCTTTAGTGCAATGCAATACAAAATCTAGTATGCCCACGTTAGAAATTAGTTGATAGCTCTACAATTTGTACAGATGAGAGCAGTGTCTCTCTTTTTTTTTTCTAAAAAGAGAAAAGAGAAGAAACAATATATTTTTTCTAAAAAGAAAGTTGATTAAAGCATAATTCTCTGGATGAAACTAGGGAGAGAGATTATCCATTGGCCCTTGTCCCTTCCAACTTTTATATTGCATAAACATGCTCTCTGCAAAACAGAGATCACACCAACATCTTCTCTGGGGAATTGCTGCATACACAAGTTACCATGTACGAAAGACAGTTACAAATAAAATGCACAACTGGGAATCAAATGAGGTAAAAAAAAACCTTCTAAATACAGCAAAGGGAGCAACTGATTCATATCAGATCTTGTACATAATCCTTCAAGGAATACTTTATTTTCACTTCAGTAGAAATGCAGACACACAATACTTCTCACAAAATTCTTATCATACTCTCTTTCTTTGTGGCAACATCATGCTTTACGATGTTATTAAATGTCATCCTCCAATTGACAGATTCAGAAAAATACATATGAAAGTGAAGAAGGGTTGAGCTTGAAAATTGGAAACCTTCAACTATGAACTTGAATCACTGGTCATGAAAGGAAAACTAGAACTATTGTGAGATTCGTACACAATAAACACATAACATGGACAAGCGATAGTTCATCTCCCCTGGCATGAATCATCATGACAATAATGCTAAGAGAAACACAATCTCTTGATATCTTCGGTGCAAAGGAATAGGAATATGAAACCTCTATTATGGAAGTTTTGATCGTGGGAACTGGGATTGAGTGGATGAAAAAATGTATCCGATAGATTTGACGCCAGCTGTTCAGGCTATGAACAATTTGTCTTTTGAAAAATGATGAAAACTCCAGTTCAGGTTAAATTCTCTGATGTGGTACAGTAACAGATGCTCAGGTTCTACCAATTTCCAGCCTGCATCCAAGGAAAATCGAAATAAAAGTAAAAAGGAAACCAAGGAGAAATACAAACACTAAGTTCATCCCTATATTAAAAAACTTGTGTGTTACACTCACTGCTGTTCACAGGACCATCACAAATTGGAAATATATAAAAGCAGAAACGGATTTTCAATATGAGTAGGGGAGAGAGGATCACACTTTCTGCATTTTATAAAGGCAGGAACCAAACAGAACTGAATAAAATCTCATCCAGAAAAGTGAACTTGAAAAGTTTACAGAGAAAACCAAATCACAGGGGCATTACAAAATCACATGAAACATTCTCTATATACCTATAGTCAAGCAAAAAAGCAGACAAAAGGGAGAAAAATGAACCTGATTAAGCTCTTACTGTTCCAGACATGACAATATCTACTAACTAGAAGTGGAGGGGGAAGTTCAAAGACTTACACAACTGCATTTCCACCTCATTTTGCTTGTAAATACATAACAAGTAAATGACTCCTGAGTGCAGTCATGTTCACCTGCCAAATTAATATGAACAAAGATAAACCTGGCCCATGAATACAGAAAAAAATGTTAATAGCACCATAAAAGAGTCCTTAAAAAGTGTATTTTTCAGTATACCAGTCTAGATAGGGGTAATCAGGACTTCTCTCAGCTGAAATAAAAGGTAGTCCTCATTTAACTTGTTTGATTTTTCTTTTTTGCCAAGAAAGTTTTCAAAAGCAAAAATTACTTGGAACAAATGGGTTTGTCAACAGAAAGAAGTACATGATCCCACTGGTGGCCCATTATAGGGAACAGTCTCAATTTCCTTTCCAGAGCGAAGGTAAAAAGCAAGTTCAATCAAGAGTGCTGTTGAAGGCACAGCTCAACAGTTCTTTCGGAAAGTGAGACTCTAGTTATGTTCTACCATATCCAGGGCATTTGGCAACATTTCTAGCATCAAAAATATTATTGAAGGAACTGGAGGAAATAAAAAGCTCTTAGTTCTACTGTTTCAATGGCTTCCTTCATTGATGACAAGGTGAAAAATGAAAGTATATTTCAAGTATACAAATATGGGATTGAGTGAACAAAAAAATAATCTGAATGCCCCAAGCAGAAACAACAGGCCAACCACACATTTGAAAGTCTATTATGCACTCCCATTCCAAGACCCCAATTTGAGGAATGTTCTTTTTTCCACACCGACCAACACTGGAGCCACATTCTCTTTTTGCATTTGAAATATCCTGAAGAGTCTCACAAACATTCAGGTCACAAGAGTCTTGCTTTCCGAAAATGCCCATTATATATTCATTATTTTAAACATATCTTGACAGAAGAAATTAAGCAATGAATCTGTCATGGATTTCAATGTCTTCACTGACAGCTCACTCTCTTATTAACTATGGAGTCAGTGATAATTTAACACATTGACCACCATGGCAATATTGGCCGGTGACTTTCCTACTCAGTGAGGCACAATGGTGTGCCTCATGGCAGTCAATGTGTTAAAGAGTTGCCTGAGGCAACATCCCTCCAAAAAACATACAAAGAAATGTAAATGTGAGCTGGAGTGAACAAAAATGTGGCATTACTGATCCCCATTTCAGATTGCCATAAAGATAATACCTCCAGGGCACCAAATAAAAATGAATGGACCATCAGTAGATGGAGAAATCATTGACGATAAACATTTATTTTGAGCAAGAATGTCTTGAAAAGAAAGCATGAATAGTCACTGGGATTGTATGGAAACAAAAAGGGAGGTGAAAGGATGAAAGCAAGAGGAATGCTAACATGGATGCAGTGAGGAAACTGGGCCTGCAGTGAACAAACGATATTGTAATCAAGTACTCCATTGGTGCTGAGGAATGCCTCACTATACCAGACCAAAGGCTCACTTTGACCCACAGTGAATCACAGAGCATCATATTGGGATAAGAAACAGAGAGAGTACTTTCATTTTAGGCTAAAAACAGATATGGTAGAAAAAAAAGACACTAACAATTGCTGCAGGAGATGAAACGATATGGCACCAGCAAAGCTCTCTCAGTCATGATGGAGAGCATAAACAGAACACTCAAATGTTCTAATTCCCATTGGAGTTGCGTGGTGTGGACACAAAGCCAGTCTTATTGTTGGCTTCAATCTCAGTCCCATAAATTTTCCCTGCTTTTGGAGCCATGGAGCTCATGAGTTCAAGGGAACACTTGTGAGCTGATTTCAGTGACACAGACCACTCCTTCAACCCGATCTCATCCTAAAATAGAACCCATTTCCACCATTTTCAAGGTAGGTTGGAGAAAAACTATCAAGATTTCACTGACAACTTTTTAAAACTTTATTTTGAATGGAATGTAGCATCTAATATTTCAAGGGTCATTTCATTTACCAGAATGACTAGTAATATACTTAAATTCTCCTCAGTGATCAATTATCAAAAGCTTGTCTTCATTGATAGTAGGGGTTTCAATAAAGCAGAAGCAAAAATATACACATTTACAATTTGGCTCTGCCTCTAGTAAGATTTCAAATATGATTTTCAGAACTCAGCATAAGCAATACAGATATGCGAAACTCAGAGAGAATGTCATAAATAGCAAGGACTCACAGGGTTGGTGAGGATGATTTTGCCATCACGAGTTCGGATCACAATGCACTGCTCTCCCTTCACCTGGATGAGATCTGAATTGACATCATCTATATGATCCAGGAAGATAAGTTCTGGCTTCCCTGAACCTTCTGTATGCAATTCCAGCCGATTTGGGTAGAGCTTTGCATAGCGAGTTTGCCAGGCGGATGCAAAAGGTCCTCCAAGCTTCTTGATGTATCCATGCAGGATACAGTCTGAATCTGTGCATATAAAGGAAGGAGGAGGTGAGAATGATCTGCATGTCTAAACTTGCCAGCAATGATTCATGAACTACTTGCAATTCACCACTTTGACATGACCTTAGAAATTTGTGAGAGCACATCAAATTTTGCTGGATGCATTTGAGGCTTTCCTCATTTTATTATCATCTGGCTGCCACCCCCCAATCCACCCTCCTCAATTCTCATCCATCAAGATAAGCAATTCCAGGAAAGGGAAAAATGTAAAATACTGGTCTGATTATGCACATGCACAGATGCAAGGGTTAGACTTTGATACAATGTCCAATTAATGATATTTGAATAAAGTTACACAAACAGCCAGCACTCAAAGAGGATATACACATTCCAATGGGACCTGTTCTTAGGCCTAGCTCAAAATTAAATATATGCAAGTAGAGCTAAAGGCCAAGCAACTTCTTTTTTTTACTTTCACTCTTCAAATCTTTATGCCAAGTTATATGAATTTGATTTACCATCCAGAGATAACAGACTACATATAGCCACCACTACATATACATTCAGAAATAAAGCAAGCCTTGCTGGTATGAATAAACTTGATGATGAAGACCCATGATTAATAAAAACAATTTCACAATTTTTTTTGTTATTTGGATGGGGGATATTTAAAAGAACAAATTTGAATTTCACACAATCTAGTAGAGGGAAACTGTGGGACAACAAGGACAAATTAATGCCTTAAAAAAAAAAAATGAGATAAAAGGAGTTTGCTTTACCAGAATTCTTCTGATCACTTGTCCATGCCTTCCATGCTATGGCCCAATAGGAACTATTAGAATTAAGCTGAAGTGGCATGAAACCTTCTTCTCCCCCACATTTTGCCATTTATAACATTAATGGCACACATCACTAAAAATGTCATCAGTGTGCATCTAAGGTATTGCTGGACCTGAGTCCAGAACACAGTGCTATCTTGCCAAAAAGCCAAGACCCATTCATGAACATACTGTACAATGCCATTGCCTTGCCTGTTAATATGGTGGTAGACTGTCCTCAGCATGAATGACAGCCTACAACCCAGCCTAACTGGAGAAGGCTGCCAGCATGTTCATGTGTCTTCCACAGTGATATGTCTTTACAAACATACTATGGGAAAAGTTGAAAAGTAGCACTAACTTGACAGGCCTTTCCAACCACCTGGCACCTAACTGCCATGCCACCTTAAGAGTGCATTGAACTTTCATCATACTGCCATCATGCTGTTGAGTATTGTTCCAGACCATGGACAGATTGCACATACTTGCTGCCAGGCAGGTCACTAAGGCCCACAGTGGTGTTAGACCATATTAACCACCATAAATTAATCTTGACTTTTGACAATATAAGGTTACCTTTTTCTTCCCTGTCAAAACGAAATTTGTGCTTAGACCGCTTTTTCTGTTCCAAGCGGTCATTCTCTTGATTGATAGTATCAAACACCGTCTCAGCTACTTCAGCTTGCCACCTCTCCGAGATGACCAGAGGAAAATTCTTGTATAATTCCTGATCTGCATCTGTCAGCTTTGGGGAGGAAAATGCAATGCATTACAGACACTGCTAGTAGCCCACAAGGAAATAACATCTTTCATGTTGCTGATTCAAGAAGGGACAAAACCTTAATGCCTTTGGTATCCTCCTCATCAAAAGATCCAATATCAAAGGCATCAGCTGCATTGACTTCTCCTCTTGGAGGAATAAGAGGAGGAGGGTATTTCTGATTGTAGACAATCTGCCAATCAATCATCCTGAAAAACCCATGACCCTTCACCTCCTCAGACCTGTAAATACAGCAACATAAATTATTTTTGGTCAAATCTTTTCTGAATCACTCTCACTCTTGCAGTCTAATGTACACTGCTCAACAGTCAAAGTGGACCACTTGGGTTGGTCATGAGTTTATCATGTTAGGGAAACTTATTGAATTATTTATGAATATTTATTACAGAATATACTTTACAGATACAAACACGAAAAGAATCACTTTTTCTACTCCTGTCACTAAGGGGCATCAGCCACCCACTTGATTTTCTTGATTGCATAGAGTTTCGAGAAATATTGAAATATTGAAATAAAGAAATCTGGACAGTGGCCTTAAAAGGCCACTGTCCAGATTTCTGCCACACCTGACTTCCCATTCTTCAGACAAAAACATAGCCAGTAGAACTTCTTCTGTGGTGATACTACTCTCCCTTAAGCACTTACCCTTTCCCTTTGCAGCCAAGGCGCTTGTCAACATCTCTTTGCAGAAGACCTTCAAGGAGATCACGCAACTCTGATGAGAATGCCTCAGGCAGTTCCACATTCTAAGAACAGAAAAAAAGTACTGAAAAGATCTTATAACATAAACTTGCTAGACAGATTACAGGAAACTCTCCAATTCTTCTATCTGTTTCACTTTCTAAGAAGTAAAAGCTTCAAATATGTAATGTACAATTCATATACAACCTTGCAGCTCTCATAGGTAATAGTGATTAAAAGCAGGGACTTTATATTATTAGCTTAAACCTCCCAGTCTAGAAAGTTGGCAAGCTTGCAAGCCTGGTTTGTGGGAAATTAGAGCAAAAGAGTTCAGGTA